TGTTGCCCAGGCTGGAATGCCATGGTACCATCTCAGCTCACTGCAACCTCTGCCTCCTGGGTTCAAGCAATTCTCCTGCCTCAGCCTCCTAAGTAGCTGGGATTACAGGAATGGGCCACCATGTCTGGCTAACTTTTGTATTTTTAGTAGACACGGGGTTTCACCATGTTGGCCAGGCTGGTCTCGAACTGCTGACCTCAGGTGATCTGCCCGCCTCACCCTCCCAAAGTGCTGGCATGACAGGCGTGAGCCACTGTGCCCGGCCAGCTTTGTCTTTAAATAATGGATTTGTGGGTAGAGTGCCAGGGCTGATATACCTGGAAGAACAGATCTACCTGCTTTTCCCACATCACAGCCTGTTCTGCCCTCAGCTCTCCTGTCTTGTCATGATAGAGTGAACCCCTGACTCAAACCAAAATAAAACGTGGGGCTTAGAATAGGTAAAATACAGTATATTAAAGCCCAGAAGGTTCTCCAAGATATGAAATTCTATCCCTTTATTTTATGGAGGCCTGGAGAGACTAAGCTCTGCTGCGTATACTTAGAGAAGCTTGCATTAAATTGCCTACTTTGCCTCACTGTCTTTTCTCCCCATCTCCTGCCCTGTTCTGTTACAGTTTCCGAGGAGGCCTGGATGTGACACACGGACAGACGGGGGTGGAATCAGTGTACACGACATTCCGGGACAGGGAGATCATGTTTCATGTCTCCACAAAGCTGCCATTTACCGAGGGAGACGCCCAGCAGGTAACCTGGTTTGGGAGGGCTTTGGGAGCCCAGGGCATGCGAGGTGAAGGCCCGCCTCTGGTCTGACCTGCTAAGGGACTGCGGCCCTCCCCATTTTCGTTCCCATAGCCGGCCAGTCGTTGAGGTGCATAGCAGCATCATAGTCCGTTCTGCTGCGTTTCTGGCCGAGGCCGTGCCTCAGTGGTCCGTTCTGTTGTGTCTCTGGCTGAGGCCGCGTCTCAGCCGTCCGTTCTGTTGCGCTTCTGGCCGAGGCCGTGCCTCAGTGGCCCTGGGCAGGAGGCAGTGCAGGGCTTGTGGTTCTCCCACGTTGACTGATGGGAAAACTGCAGCCCACAGTGGTGACAAGACTTCCTTGAGGTTTCTCCGTTTATTAGGGGCAGAGCACGGGGCAGAGCACAGAGCAGAGCCTGGGGGCCCTGGTCCTAGACGGTGGTGGTAAAGTGTGCATGGTGGGGTTTGCAGATGGGGGCAGGAAGCCAGCTGTGCCACTTTGGGGCGTGTGACTCTGGGCAAGCCAGTTAACTTTCTCATCTGTAAAATGGGGGTAACACCACCCACGATAGAGGGTTATTGTGGGGATTACATACATTTCTGACTAGGGTTCATACGATGCCCAACTCGTGGCCAGCTTCCCATAGAACAGCTGTTCACTGTCCAGCCGCTGGTCATTTTGTCCCCCTTCCTGCCCCAGTGACAGAAGGCTGGTTATTGCGTGAGATTCCTTCCCCACCCTCAGCTTTCCTCATCTCACAGGCTCCTCTCACCACACCTGCGGGAATTCAGCCTTAACCTCCACCAGGGAGACCTGGATGAGACCCCTGACCCCACAGCTTTCTTGGTGTGCTCCCCGTTTGCTGCTCTGACAGCCGTGCATCCCCGGGGAGAGCCGCAGCTGGTCCTCGGCTGTTGCAAGCCCAGTTCCCCGAGCCCGCCTTCTGCCCCTTTTCAGTCTGGGAAAGTAAGAAATGCAGGTGGGCCTTTGCCCAAACTCTGACCTGTGTGTCTCTGAGCAGGAACTGGGGAGGGAGCACAGAGGGAAAATTGTAAACACAGTGCCTGGCTTCTTAGGAAAGAAGGAAATTGGCAAACGAGATTATGAGTTGGCTCTAAAATAGCTACTGAATGTTCCAGAAACAAATGGAAGCAGAATTCCTTTTGTATCCAAAGTGGGTTTTCGTTCAATCTTTCACCTCCAGCCTCTCTGTTCCCTTATGGCCCCTCTCACCTGCTGCCCAGCCTGGTCTGTTCTCTCTGGGCCTTCTCAGTCTTATGTATGTTTCCTGGGAAATACACGTTGGCACAGGGCTCGGCTCTTGGCGGGGACTGAGTAAATATTAGCTTTCTCTTCCTGAGAAATGGGAAGATGTGCGTGGAGTAAGTGAGGTAAATTGTGTAAAAGCGCTCAGCACCGTTCTTGGTGTATAACAGTGTTCAGCGAATGAGAAACTCAATGTGAAGGGACTGCATGCACTAGGTGCTTAATAAAAGAACAAATGCATAGGCAGGCACCTAGCCTGGACTTGATGTACAGGAGAGGGTTTGTGTGTGTGTGTGTGTGTGTGTGTGTGTGTGTGTGTGAGAAGGGGTCTCACTCTGTCACCCAGGCTGGAGTACAGTGGTGCGATCATAGCTCACTGCAGCCTCGAACTTCAGGACAGGGTTAACATTTCATATCATGCATGAACAGCCCGACGTGGTTCCAGGGATACACCAGTTGCTTGGTGGCCGAGGTCACACCCAGAAGCACCTGGCCCTGCTTGGGATACAGAGTTATGGTTGGGAATCCTCCTTCCATCCCACCTGCGCCAAGCTAGGTCATCAGTGCTGTCATGATCTGCCACTTCATCCCTCTCATTCACACCTTCAAGACCCCCTGACCTTCAAGACGTCTCCTCCTCCAGGAAGCCCTCTCAGGTTGCTGTTGGGCCCTGTGATTTCCCCTCCCCTCTATCTTCAAGATGTCTCCTCCTCCAGGAAGCCCGCTCAGGTTGCTGTTGGGCCCTGTGATTTCCCCTCCCCTCTATCTTCAAGATGTCTCCTCCTCCAGGAAGCCCGCTCAGGTTGCTGTCGGGCCCTGTGATTTCCCCTCCCCTCTATCTCCAGAGCTGTCAGGCCTTTCGTGCACGGCAGCTGATTTAGCTCTTGCTGGCGGCCGGCTTTGTTAGTTTTCTCAGGTGGCTTCTCCTGTGTTTGTATTTCTCCCAGATAAAGGACAGGCTCTACCAGGGCAAGACCCAGCCTTGCCTTTTAAATATTCTCGCCGAGTCCTGAGTCAGGGATCTACATGCTGTAGAGGTCAGTAAGATGCTCGCTAGTCTCCACCTAAGCACTTGGCCATCTTCCCCATTTTTTTTCCCTTTTTGGTGGCTTCTAAAGATTGAAAGAAGGTCAGGCGCAGTGACTTACGCCTATAATCCCAGCACTTTGGAGGCTGGGGCGGGCTGGTCAGGAGTTTAAGACCAGCCTGGCCAACATGGTGAAACCTTGTCTCTATCAAAAAATACAGAAATTAGTGGGTGAAGTGGCACGCACCTGTAATCCCAGCTACTCCAGAGGCTAAGGTGGGAGAATCACTTGAACCCGGGAGGCGGAGGTTGCAGTGAGCTGAGATCGTGCCACCGCACTCCAGCCTGGGCAACACAGTGAGACCCTGTCTCAAAAAAAAAAAAAAAGATTGAAAGAAGAACCCCCCTTGGTTTTCCCCAAATAGGAAAGCAACTCACAAGAGACACAAAGCACGAAGCGTGTTCCGTGCACGCCTCCCGTTGCTGCCCGGCATCAGTACTGTGCTTTCAATCTTAAATTTACTGCATTTTCATCTTTAAATTTCCAAAACAACAGCCACGAACTCTTCCTACTCAGAATTCAGGTGTCCTGTGTGCAAATGAAAGTGAACCCACTCTTTCCCCAAAACATCTTTCATGATGTTCCTAACTGGCTTATAACCTCTCAACACTTTTTATTTAGCTCCAGAGAAAGAGACACATTGGAAATGACATTGTGGCCATCATCTTCCAAGAGGAAAACACACCGTTTGTCCCAGACATGATAGCCTCCAATTTCTTACATGCCTACATCGTCGTGCAGGTTGAGACCCCAGGCACAGAGACCCCATCCTACAAGGTAAGGAGAACGCCTTGTGGGAGGAAGTGGTGGGCCTCGACACCTTATCCTGTGTGGATCCTATGATATCAGAAGGCACTAGTCCTCAGCAGTCAGAGATTCTCCATGAGGTCTCAGATTTCTGGGTTTGGAGCTAATTTCTGGGTGGGGAGGACCTTCCAAGGCCACCTGATCCCCCTTGCTGCCTCCAGTCTCAATGGCATCTTACTTGAGGGTTGAGGAGCTCTGAGTGTTGTACTTGGAACCTGGTAATGCCATTTGCTTGAGTAAGGCAGAGCTAGAATAAAGAAACAGTGTGGAAAGGACGAGCAGGAAAGGGTAGCGATAGAAGGGTGGTAACAAAGGAAAGAAGAAAAAAAGTGTTTATGGTGAGGATGGAGAGGAGGTGCCTGGTAGACCCTGGCCACTGGGTGAGCCCCTGGCCTGGCTGTTTGGGACAAAGGATGGATCTTCATTTAAAGAACTCCAGGGAGGCAGATACGCAAGCACCTGGGTCTGAACCTCCCAAGCAGCCACGGGTCTGTCAGATGGCTCGAAATCCTCGCCAGTGCAGATGACAGCGAGATGGAGCTGCTCATTGCCCCTGAGTCCCCTGCTCCCTCATGGCTGGATGGCTGACCCTCCCTCCTCTGGTCCACCGGAAAGAATCACGACCTCTTGGGCACAGTCTCTTGGAATCGCAGTGCTGTGGCGGGCACAGGACTCAAGGGCGATAGACTGAGGCAGGGCTTTCAAGGTGAGGGTTAGGCAGTCTCTGACTCCCTGCAGATAAGTGCAAAATGCTGACTTTGTGCCCCTCCTTGGATTCCTGAAAAGAGAGGCCGTACCTTACATTCTCAAAGGGCTCCCTGCTCCGCGAAATATCAGGAACCGCTGTTCGAAGGGAGAGGAAAGATGAGCCTGTAATTGCTAATGGGAAACCGTGAAGCCTGACAATGTTTCCCATCAAATAATTTCAGCCCATACTGATTCCTGGGGTTCAAGATGCCACTGCACTTCCACTCAGTTAAGTGCAAAATTCACGTCACCTTTTAAAACCAAATGTGAATCGTCAGAAGAAAATAAAAAGAGACTGGGCACGGTGGCATACGCCTGTAATTCTAGTGCTTTGGGAGGCAGAGGCAGGAGGATTGTTTGAGGCCAGAAGTTCAAGACCAGCCTGGGCAACATAGCGAGACCCTGTCTCTACAAACAAAACAAAACAAGCAACAGAAACCAAATAGCAACTCCGACC